TTTTTTTATATATTTCAGGTGTTTTTATGAATTACATGAAATTGAGGTATATTTATGTATTTAATTTCATTTATTTTTGTCAATATCTATTAAATTATAGGTGTTATGTAATGTTTTATATAAGATTGTATTTATAAAATGAATATATTAAATGTAATTGTTTATGTATAATTAATTTTAATATATTATAAAGTAGTGTTTTATCATTAACATTTTATTTATTTAATTTCTTTAATTTTAATTATTATATGTGTTGTATGTTTATTTAGTGTATGTTTTAGATTTTTGTATATACAATCTTGATTAATATATATAATATTGTTTTATGGTAAATTTATTCATCTTAAATACTATTTTGTATTTATAAACATTTACAAATTGTGTATAATAATAGTTATGTAAAAATAATTTTTTTAAATTTTCTGGACATAATTTTCCAGCGCTCAGCATTGGAAAATAGTGCTATATGTCCATTTAAGGTAAGAACCATTTTCCAGCGCTTAGTGCTAGAAAATAAGTGGTAACGGCAACTTAAAACGGGTTGCCGTTATCCATTTTTCTCCAGCGCTTTAAATATTAGTAAAATTTTTCTAGCGCATTTTTTGCCCTGGAAAATAACTATTTTCCACATGTTTTTTTTCCATCAATATTTTCTAGTGCAGAATGTTGGAAAATAATAATTTTTTAACACATTTTAAGTATTTTTCAGTGCAAAATGCGCTGGAAAATAGGCTTTTTTTGTAGTAGTGAACCCAATTTTAAGTTTTGAAAACAATTTATGAGTGAAAGCTTCATCTTCTTCCCTGAGATGTGATCTCCATCTTTGCTTCTCTGAGAATGCAATCTTCATTTATAATGTGATTGCTAAGATGTGGTCTTCATCTTATCTTGTACGAGATGTGGTCTTCATCTTACCTTTTGCGAGATGTGGTCTTCATCTCTCCTTCTTCTTGAGATGTGGTCTTCATCTAGGATGTAACTTATAAGATGCGGTCTTCATCTTCTTCTCTTTTTTGTTTTTTTTTTTTTTTTTGGTGAGATGCGATCTTCATCTCTTCTTTATCCTAAGATGTAGTCTTAATCTAGGATGTGGCTTCTAAGATGCGGTCTTCATCTCTTTTTCTTTCTTAGATGTGGTCTTCATCTAGGATGTGACTTCTAAGGTGTGGTCTTCATCTTATCTTTGATGAGATGAGATCTTCATCTCATTTTCTTCCTTAGATGTGGTCTTCATCTAGGATGTGACTTCTAAGATGCGGTCTTCATCTTATCTTTTGCGAGATGCGGTCTTCATCTCTTTTTCTTCCTTAGATGTGGTCTTCATCTAGGATGTGATTTTGCAAGATGCAAACTTCGTCTTCTCTTTTCTGAGATACAAACTTCATCTCTTCTTTTTCCTGAGATGCAATCTTCATTTAGGATGCAAACTTCGTCTTGTCTTGTCTTTCTTCCTTTTTTTAATTTTATTTTTAATTTTTTTGAGATGCAAACTTCGTCTTTTCTTTTCTAAGATGCAAACTTCATCTTTTCTTTTCTAAGATGCAAACTTCATCTATTCTTCTTTGACAATGATCTTGAATTGAATTAGTATTTCTTCAAACCTCAATAATTTGTGCCTCTTGCCAATGTTCAATTCCATCTTGAACTTTCATCAATATCACAACTTTAAACCTTGAAGGCTCAAGAGATTAATAAGTGTCCTTTAGTGTCATCTTGAACCATCATTAATCCTTTCCATCTCTGATGATGCTTTAAATTTTGTGAACGTGTTTGATTCACCCATACTATCAT